AAGACAGAAATGGGGTTAGAAGAAACATATTTTATCTCTTAGAATATGTTATTTGAGTGTATTTAATTCCAGAAATTAACTGATGCATTTCTCTTTATTAAGGGATGGCCATATGGTGGTTAGTTATAAGATCAAAGCTCAAATTGTGACTTTTATTAGTACCTGTGACCTTGTGTGAAGTATCATACTTCAATTTCTTATGTAAAACAAGGTGTCTGGTGCATAATACATTATGCATGTGAACATTATACATTATGAATATAAATTATATTCAGCAAATAACAACTATTAATTGTTAGCAATAATTTGGCTGGCTTAAGTATACATCTTCAATATTGATAAAAATGGTTTCTATAGGCTAGAAACTTAGAAATTAGTGGGAAATATCATAGACATGGTTATATGGTTATCTTAACATGTGTATGATCTTTCCCACTAATTTCTAAGTCATGTGTATGATCTTTCCCACTAATTTCTAAGTTTCTAGCCTATAGAAACCATTTTTTAAAAATGTGGATTGTTTGTTATTTAGTTGCTAAGTTGTGTCCAGGTCTTTTGCAATGCCATGAACTGGAGCCCTTCAGGCTCCTTTGTTCATGGAATTTTCCAGGCAAGAATACTAGAGTGGGTAGCCATTTCCTTCTCTAGGGATCTTCTAAACCCAAGAATCGAACCCACATCTCCTGTACTGGCAGGTTGTCAGTCAGATTTGTGGATATTTACAGACTGTTATGAAACTTTGTTTGGGACCACAAAGCATCCAAATTGACCTGAGAATGAGGGTGATGGTGCACTTCTCTGGGAAACCAGTGTAGGGAGATTTATAGGAATGATTTTAGGACTGATTCCTGTGGCAAACTGAAGAAAGCAGTACTAAGCAGAAGGAGAAGTTGGGCTCACATGGAGTCACAGTGACCATTTCAGCTAATTTCAAGTGAAAGCCCTGGATAGTACCTCAGAACTGTCCTGAATTAGGGCAAGTAGTGTTTAATACTTTCCTGTACTGACTCACTGGATGCACTCTGTCTGTAGGAAGGAGCAGTGACCTTGAATGATATGACCTCCTTCAGCCACACACAGGCATACTCAGGGGACCTTGCCTACAAGCTGTTACAATGGGTGCAACATACCCAGCAGGTGGGAGAAGGAGTGCTTCTGAGGGGAGCCATAGGTGAGCACATCACAGATTACACTATAGCGGGTGTCATGGAAGATGTCCTGGAATAAAGGAAAGTCTTAAAGGTTTAGAAGATGCACCCAAAGTTGGATTCATGTAAGGATATAGAATATAGGGTAAGGATATATAATTACTTTTAATCAGTATGTGTCTAGAGCATGAGGAAGATCTATTTAAAATTCTTTTTTGGTTTATACAGTGTGGCCACAACTATTACAAGAATTTTCAAAATTAAATTTCTATTAAGATAAATATTTTTAAAAAGAAAACTGAAGAAGAGGCATGGATGGTTAAGAGAAAGTGCAAGTAGTTTCTGGACCATATTCACAATGAGGGGGTATCTGGTTGTGCAGGGCAGCATGGTAATAATAGCTGAATAAGTAGCTAGGATCAAGTCATGACGAGTTTTAGGTGGTAGATTTCACCTGAAGATATCTGAACACTGTTGAAATACATGAAGGATGGCAGAGACCAAGTTAGATTATCTTTCAGAAAAAAATCTTAATAACTTGGAAAATATATTTGAGAGAATCAAGACTGGAGGCAGGAAGGCTCTATAATAGTCTGGGTGTTAGATGACAAGACCTGCATAATACTACCTCTCCAGAGGAAGTATTTAATAAGTATTTAATAATTTCATGTTGATTGTGTGTTATTTCACATGATGTGTCTATCACAACACTCTCACATTATTGTTTTTTCTTATTTATATTCTCCTGGGCTCTATAGATTTTATTTTCTATCTGAGATTGAATTTTCCTTGGAGGATAAAAGAAAAATACATGTATTACATGTACATTTGTAAGCTCATCAATCTATTCACAACATTTACTTTTAATCTAGAGTAAATGTCTAGAGTATGAGAAAGATATTTAACCTTTTTTTTTTTTTTGGTTTATACAGTGTGACCACAACTATTATAAGAATTTTCCAAATACAATTACTATTAAAATAGTTTAAAAAAGAAAACTAAAAAATTTCTGAATTTAATTTCAAAGAGGAAAAAATATAGAAAATGCAAAAATAGAAAATGAAAACCTATCATGAATTTAATAGTTTTGATTTTAGTTGAAATTTAGTTGAATTTGAGCAGGTCAATTTTCCAAAGCCTCATCCAAGTTTCTTCATCTTTGTATGTATCTAATAGTACCTGGCTCAAAAGTCATTGTAAGGGTTAAATGATTATAGTACTAAAAATAATTTAATAAATTATAAAATACTTATATATAAGTGCATTAATTCCTTTAAGAATTTATCACAGCGAGGCATCCTAATTCAGAGAGAAGATGCATCCTAATTCAGAGAGAAGGTGCACAGAAGATGCACCGTAAGCAAAGCTGGACATCTGGAGTCCCGACTTGAGGCCACCCATGGTGTTACTGGACTTGGAGAATCAGTGCAGGGCATGAGTGAGGAGACAGGTGGAGAGGTTCTCTTTTCAAGCTTCTGTTTGATTTTCTTTAAAAGAGTGAATAGTAACGCCAGTTTATAGTGTGCTTATTTCAACTAAGCTTTCACCAGAACAGGCACTATGTTTTAATGAACTTTAATTTCTCAATTGATGCCAATGTGAATCTTAATATTTAACTGCATAAGAAGGTGATGATTACAGATCTGTTTTCTGCTCGGTCTTGGCAGGAAAGAGGGCCAGAGCCACCAGCTTTATTACAGTAGCATTACAGAGTGGAAATTACACGGAACCAGCAGGAGTCAAACATCCCATGTTTAAGTCTTGCTCCTTTCTTGGGCAAAAATACTTTAGATTTCTGAACCTCAGCTTTGTTTTCTTTAAAACCAAAGGTTTGGAATTAAATGATTAAGTTCCTTCTGGATCTGTAATTCTGATTCTCAAGGTTCACAATTCTCTCAAGGGACAAAAATGGAGATTTCAGAGTGTACGCCTCACTTTAACTTTCTGATCACAGATCTGCATCATTTGGGTCAAAATCAGAATTACAAAGATGCTCAAGGACTGAGAAACGCTCAGTGAGGGCAGTGGGCCTGGGAGAGGAGAAAGCATGCCTTCCTCAAGCAGATACCAGAATGACAATCATACTACACACCCTGAAGCCTACTGCAGAGGCCTCCAACACCCCTAAACCTGTACCCTTAATACCACCCCACACTCATAAGCATGCTCACACACACACACACACACACACACACACACTGAGAGACGTTTTTGGAAAAGAACCAAAGCAAATTCTTCAGGAGCCTAGAAAAAGACTAGACTAATTATTTGCTAGTCCTATTGTCAGTCTGTCTGACATTAGCCAAGTTTCATATAGTTTCAAGTTTCAACTCAAAACATTTACACAAGAGTATCCCTGATGTTTTACAGTGGTTTTTCTTGTTATAAAACTCTCAAAATATTGACCTCTTTGGAAACATTTCTTCTCACACTCCATTGGATTTTATAAATGTCTTTTCTTTTGTTTCTTAAGTTGCCATATGCACACCCTCAGTCCCCACCATGAGACGTATCAACTCCTTGGATCAATTTCACATCTTCTGTTGTAGTGATATCACCACTGTTTGTTAAGAAAATGATTATTATGTCTCCAAGGATTCAATCCCATACATAATCTATTAAAATAAAATGAGATGCATTTATAAAAGAGTTATAGATTTAAACTCCTGAAGGATGGTATGTCTCAGAAATATAAACAAGCAGCAGAAACAGTTGAACTATGAGGAGATGGCCACACAGGTTGGAATACAAGCATCAGGCCTTGTCGCTGTCACTGCATTTTGCTTGACGCAGTGTGCCAACTCTTTTATGTATACACTCATGTTTCCAAGACCAGGGTAGAATAGCCACAATATCAAGAGTTTAAAATCACTGCAACTCTAATTTACTATTTATCTAATTTACAGAACTGAGTCACACATAATTATTAAGGACCTGCTATGTGCCAAGTATTGCCTTTATGGGTAGTGATATAAAAGTAACTGAAATATACTTCCTGGTCTCAAGGAAGGCCAACCAGTTATTTAGTGACCTAAATTGTAACAAGATAAACTGTGAGGTCTGGGAGACTAGTGCTCTCATCACTGACTGCAAATTTTCCAGTGCCTAGTAGAGTTCCTAGAAGATAGAAGCAATGCAGTGTTTGTGAAATAAATTTATTGCCCTGCATTACTTGCTTAGCCATTTTTTTCTAGTGTACAAGCTGTTCCTTGAAAAAAAAATCTGAGATATTAACAATTAAGCATATAGTCTATCTTTATATCTGTAATGATATAAAAAAACACAACATGTTGTGTATATTGATGTTATTAATTGGAGTTACTTTTGTCTTTCACATTTTGACCAAAAAATTCTAAATTAAGCCTCACCTTATTTTTCATGTAAATCACTCAAACATAAAATTTTACCCCTCTTTTGTCACCTTCAAGATAATGTAAAAAATAATTTAAGAAAGGTAAATAAAGAAAGTGCAAGGAAAAAATCTGGTAGAAAATAGTATTTATTTCAAGCCCCTGAGTTTGAGTCAATTCTCTGTCATCAGGTTTATATGCATGAATTCACTGCACCTTCATAACAATGATAGTAATAATGAAAATAAAAATAATAATATCACACTTGAATTAATTCCCTATCTCTAGAATTTGAGCCAACATCAAAATAATCGGCCTGTGAAAACTGAAATTTAAAGTTTTGAACAAGACTTTACAGGGCTTTTTGTATCTCTCTGTCATAGGCCAAAACAGACCGATTTTCATTTTGAAGGATCATTTCTTTATTTTCCACACTTTTCTATTAAAATCCTTAAATGACTAGGCATGAGGCAGTTGAACACCACACCCAAGAAGGATTTACCTGTAGTTCTGCTTCTCATTTCCTATGTGGAATCTGTCGTATTGTGAATAGGCTCGGTTTCCTTCCCAGTCCAATAACTCAATTCTTAGAGTGTACTGCCTCTGACTGGTTATGGCAAAAATAAACTCATTCCCCAACCAATATTCACCAGAGGGATTTCCAAAACCCTGCAAAAGAAGACAGAGATGCAGCTGTTAATTCACAGAGAAGATCTTTTCAAGTTTAATATTATATTCTAAACAATAATAAAACATTCTTTAAAAGATGGTTCTTTCATATTTTTATACATTTTCTTCAGTTACTCACTCAGTATTTTTCTGCTATGTTCCTCTCCAAGGTTCATTAGAGTAATTCTTAATACAGTAAAAATATGATATTCAAATCTGTGTAGATGAGATTTTTTGAATTAAATGAATCTGGTTAATAGGTTTAACCAGTAAATGCTTCTCAATCACAACCTGCTTTTGAAAATAGCTCTTACATATGAGTTAATGGAATATTTTCAACATAGTTTAAACATTTTTCAATGAGTATCATCAGAAGTTATTTAACAATACTATTACTGTTTTATGTTATTATTATTCACAGTCAAATTATGTTAGATAGTAACAAATAGATTACTAGACCCTTAACTTCTATAGCTCTTAACATTTTCATTTTTAAGTAATAATAAGCAAATTTGTAAATCCAGGACTTCAGTCACTTAAATACATCACACCCATAGATTAGGATTTGGAGGTAGAAGGGTGACACTTAAGAGCTAGTGAGGGAATCTAGCTGGAGGCTCCAAACCTGAATCTCAACAAGGTTCCACTGTTCTCTCAAGGCAATCCCAGTCATTGCTTCTAAGTGTTCAAAACAGTTTTGCTTCTGGGATAAAAGTAGTAGTACATAAAAGAAAGCTAACTTTTAATGCTGATTATGTTAATGATAGGAAAATTAAAAACCCTAGGAGTTTACTGGTGCTCTAGATTTTGGGTATTCACAACTGCCTCAGAAAGTATGCCTTGGTAAAACTTGAAGTTCAGTATAATTCCTGATCTACATGTTTTACCAACCAGACTATGAGCTCCTTGAGGACAGAAGTTGTGTTGTATTTGTGAATCCTCAAAGACTAGTAGAATGCTGGCATACACTGGGCACTCCATAAACTTACTGAAGTTCAAAGAAAATGGAAGAAAGGCAGGAAGGAAGAAAACAAAAGACTATAGTAGTCTGCAGTTGAATTCAGAAAAATAACCTTTAAACTTAATTCTTGTAGGTAATTTGGTTGAATCTCAAGGGTGTTTCTTAAAGTGACCAACTGAATCATAATCACTGGAGCACTAGTTGAAAACAAATATTCCTGGCTGGCTCCAACCTGAATCAAAGTATATGAGACCAGTCCATAAGTCTGAATCTGAAGAAACTTTGCATTTATCTTGTGCACTTTGATACTTGGAAAACTTGGAGGTGCCTAGTAATCACATGATATACTTTGATGTTGCAGAAAGAAACATTCTGGTTCACCTAGGTATTCACTAATAAAGGGTCTTATTCTATCTGTATGAATAATAACGAGGGAAGTACTGAAAAATCACAGCAATTCTTTTTTTAAGTTATTTCTTTTAAATGGAGGCTAATTACTTTACAATAGTGTGGTGGTTTTTGCCATACATGGATATGAATCAGCCAAGGGTGTACATGTGTCCCACCATCCTGAACCCTCCTCCCACCTCCCTCCCCACACCATCCCCCTGAGCTGTCCCAGAGCATCAGCTTTGGGCGCCCTGTTTCATGCAGCAATTCTTATTTCCTCAATACAGAGGGTAGAATTTGAAAAATATTTCTTTCTTTTAAAATTTAATGTATATCAACATTACAGAACGACAACTATAGTAGAAATGTTCTTAAATGATTTCTCCTTTAACCAGCTCACATGAAGCAGTATTTTCTGTTTCTTCTTTAAAGTATATTATTTCCCAGAGTACACTAAAAGTATTAAATACAGTTGTGCACTCCCATCTGCCAACTGAGTCACTTACCAAAGACCAATTGTGTTTGGTCTCACACTCATTTATGCCAGTTCTCTTATGGCAATGATGAGATTTATAACGCCATGTAAATAAGTTAAATATTAGTCAGGAAAGAGGAATTTTGTTTTGTTTTTGGTAGAAACTAATTTAGATGTTTAGATTTGCTTCTATGAAAGCAAATCACTAAAAATTCTTTTGAACTATAAGTTGTTGCAACAATCTTAAAAGACTGAGGAAAATAATAAAACTTTAGAGGACTTTTAACATACATTGCTTTTCATATGTCTTACTTGCTCTAGTTAAAACAAAAACAAAAACAGAAGCTAAATATTTGATGCATTTGATTATGGGAAAGTTTTATGAAAGAATCTTTAATTCAGAATTCTAAGCTTTGAGCCTCGATTTTAAAAATGTGGGCAAATGAATGTATTTTCAATGAAATGTATTAGCATATACATATGTATGTATACTTTTAACTTAGTTGCATATATATATCTCAATTTAAATTAGTTTTTGATTAACTAAACACATTTTGTCCAAATTGCAGTGGGTACATGCATCCCCTAAGATCATCTCCCTGTAGCCCAGAGTACCGATGTAGGATCTATTGAAGTCCATACTCTAGGGTCTCCTTTCTTCTCTGTTCTTAACATGCTCAAGTCACAGGTTGCAAGAGTTCCACAGTGGCAGGAAATCTTAATTTAAAATGTGCTAAGAATTTTACACATTCTCAGGGCAACTGGTGCTATATACCATGGAGAAGAGTGAAGCTTACCTTCTCCAATGAGTAAGCAAAGCAGAAAGTTACAGGGGACTGAAAATTAGCACATTCTCAGTTGCAGAAGCCACTGGGAAGAAAAAGAAGGTGCTGGGATTCTCCTTGTATTTCCTTTCAGCTCAGACATGCCAAAACTCTATATACACCCTCTTTTGTGTGGTCAGTTAGAAGAGATTCAGTAATTATACTAAATGTGAATAAGGAAGGTGGGGATGAAGTTTTAGGTCAAATACTTCCATGCTGTTGAAACAATTGCAAGGATATAAAAGCTCTCCAGCCTTCCTAGGGAAAAGCACACTGATCCGAAAAGGAAGAACATTTGTGTAATTCCTCCATGAGCCTCCGTTCCCAGCTTGGCATGCAAGCTTGTACCCCCTCTAAGTGGAGGCTAATAACCATTCCTAAAGAGTTTGCTCTTTGTGACTGAAGATAGAGGAAGAAACAACTGAAGAGAAAGCACTGAAATTTGCTTTGATAAAACAAAATTTTATTTATGCACTTTTCCAGAAAACTTTCTAAATATATGCTCTATTGGCTGCAAGGAATCAATGTGTTAGGAATCAATCTAACACAATCAATCAATCTCTCTGTTAGAGAGAGAATGTAGGAGGAAACCTTCTAATAGCTAAGTGCAATGATGCAGAAATAACCATTTCATCATAAAGATGAAAAAATTCAAGAAAGAAGGGAAAATGGGTTCCTAATTTAGTAAACTGTCTATTGGATAGTCTATTAGGCAACCATGAATCCCATGAATCTGACACCTAGTCACAAAGACAGCTTTGATTAAACAACTTCTACTCCCTACCTCTGGCTCCAATTGGAAGTCTTGCTCAGCCATAATTGCTCTTACTTTTGAGCCTTAGTTTCTTTATATGCAAAATAAGGATTTAAAATATTTCCATATATAATGTTGTGAGAAAGAAATGAGATAATATACTCAAAACATTTATCTCAGTGTTGATGCATGAGGAGTACTTAACAAAAATCTAGTTTCTATTATAATTAGAGGATATATCACAATATATAGTAATTTTCTGATTATCTGTCTCTGTCCCAAGAGACTATAAGCTATAGAGCGTTAGGCAGGTTCTTTTGCACTCTGTATGAGAAATCCTAGGTCTTGTCTTAGCCTGAAATTTACTTTATTTTATTTTTTAGCCTGAAGTTTAATAAGGAGATATTGAATCAATGCTTTAAATGGTTTTCAGATGCTAGGAGCTAATGTATTCTTAAGATAAGTTGAGTATTGGTTTATACAAATGAGTACTTTCATTTTAACCCAAGAAGTTAATTATTAAATAAGAAGTTTAAACCAACTGGTTGCAACAGGGGCTAAGCTATGACACAAACAATAGTTTACGTCTACAGATTATCTTCTTATACTTGTTTCTGCTTTCCTATTGCTAAAGAGAGGTTGTCTTTTTTAACTCTACCTTGGTTCTGTTTTTTTTTAATTCCTTTCTCACTATATCTCATAAGTTTTAGGATCTAAAAAAGAAATTTTTGAGATCTTAAACCGATGCTAATAACTTTATAGTTCTGACATTTGCTTTCAACTGGCAGTGCGTATCAGAAACAGCTGTGGAGCTTTTTCAAACCATAGATGACTTGGTTGGTTCCCATATGGAGGTTCTGACTTAGTATGTCTGGGGTGGTCTTAGAGATCTATACATTTGAAAGCTCCTCAGGTAAGTATGCTGTGCACCAAAGGTGGAGAACCATAGGACTATAATGTAGAATAGCTATTCTGAATGCAAATGAGAAATAATAAATTCACCAGATCAGATTCTCTAATAGGTACATGGGAAATAAAAGGCAGGCATAAAACTAAACTTCATTTTCATATTGAAGGTATTAGGAGTTAAGGGTTGATTGTATATTATGGAAGTGTCCTTGAAAAAAATTCATATTTTTTCTGGAAATACAGAGATGAACAATTCACAAACAAGCAAAGAAATAATTTACATATTATTGTATACCTAACAGCTTACCACAGGTTTTATATTTTACTCCAAATAGCTTGCAACAGTCATAAAAATGAAAGTAAAGTCTTATACAAAATTCAGTGTTGACACTGAAAAAGCAGTAAGTCCTTTGAACAAGCAATAGTAATAAAAACAGAACTTGTTCTTTTTTATAAATAAAATCCAAGGGTGCTATACCATACCCTGCCAATCATAATCACATAATTAAAAAAATCACATATCATGATTCTGATATCATAATTCAGATAGATTGTTTATCAATTTTATTTCTCCTTTAGCTCTTTAATAAAAGGCAAAAGACCCTGAAATTTAGCTTAAACTAATGCTGACTTAAAATTGGCCTTATAAACCACATTTTGCTTTTTAAAAAAAAGCACACAGAGAATGGACTAATATTCATTAGTTTTTGCCAAAATTTGCAAAAATGTTCAGTTTTGATTCGTATTTTTCCAAGTTAATAAAATAATTGTCTCTGATACTTTGTTTTGTCTGATAATATTCATAGGAAGTCTTGACTTTTTATGGCTTAAACACAATTGAAACCAGACACAGTCTATGTACCCTGTAGATTTCATCTCTTTTCATAAAATGATCAAAGAAAACAGATAAGAAGTCAGGGTTACTGAGTTGTGGCTTTCCAAAGGTGCTTAATATACAATTCAATTGTGCATCTCCTCTAACTACTGAGATAGCCCAAAAAAGATCAAAAGATGAATATTTCAGCATTTTAAATTTCTGATATATATATTTTTCTCCTTTTAATGTGAATATGATAAAATGAAGTTGAAAATGTGCTCTTAATTCCTTTCCAGAAACAAAGAACTCCCAGAAGGTATAGTGCTTAGAATGAAATATTTGTGTAAATAGGAAGCACTGTTTATGGAGCTAAAAGTTTTCAATACAAAGACAGGTTGTCTCCAGGGCATTAGTCACTACCTTCTATAAAGTTAGGCCACGGGGGTACTGTTTGTTGGAGCCCTAGCTTGATTGGGCTGTATATGCAGAAGTACTGCTGATAAGTGTTATTGCCATAGGCCGCTAAATGGTATTCTCAAGGCTTGAAGGAGTTAATGTTGTTCCCTAAGTGCCTCATTAAAAAAGCCCACTCCAGACTTCCCCCTTGGCAAACATCTTTACAAATCCATAAACCAGATTTTGCTGAATCTCCTCATAAGGAAGTTTTAAGTGAAAACAAAGCTTAGGTAAAAGATTTTGTAGTCTTAAAGCCAACGTTAAGAATCAAATAAACTGCAAGTCTTCCATGGTGAGAGAGGTTTAAAAATAATAATTATATATTTGTATTTCATGTGTTGATAATTTTAACATATTGTTCTGGAGACCTTATGAAGCAAGAGAAAGCCCACAGGTATCAACCAGTATAAAGGGAAGGAGAGAGGAAAGGCAGAAAGGAAGGAGGGGTGAAATTTTAGCTCTACACTCAGTGCTTGAGAAAGAAGTGAATCATCTTATTGTATATAATAGAACAGTGAAGATTAAGGAGTAAGTTCTTTTTCCCAAAGGATGTACACCCAGCGGCCAGTTCTGATTCAGGGAACAGAAATGGCTGTGACTGATAAGAATTGGCATAAGGAGTCTATGCCCATTCTTCATGGAGTCATGTTGCTTTGTCTGCAGCTGAAAGACAAGCTCTGGAGGAAACAACCAAAATACTATACCATGTGTTTTGGTGATAGTGAACCAAATTATAACATATGATAAATTCTTTTTTATTTATTTTTAATTTATTTATTTTAATTGGAGACTAATTGCTTTACAATATTGTAATGGTTTGTGCCATACATTGACATGAATCAGCCATGGGTGTACATGTGTTCCGCATCCTGAACCCCCCTCCCACCTCCTGCCCCATCCCATCCCTCTGGGTCATCCCAGCGCACCAGCCCTGAGCACCTTGTCTCATGCATTTGAACCTGGACTGGTGATCTGTTTCACATTTGATAATATACATGTTTCAGTGCTCTTCTCTCAAATCATCCCACCCTTGCCATCTCCCACAGAGTCCCAAAGACTGTTCTACACATCTGTGTCTCTTTTGCTGTCTCAAATATAGTGTTATCATTACCATCTTTCTAAATTCCATATACATGCGTTAATATACTGTATTGGTGTTTTTCTTTCTGACTTACTTCACTCTGTATAATAGGCTCCAGTTTCATCCACCTCATTAGAATTGATTCAAAAGTATCCTTTTTAATGGCTGAGTAATATTCCATTGTGTATATGTACCACAGCTTTTTTTTTAAATTAAAACAAAACAAAAAAAAGTCATCAGACTCATTTTTGCCAAAACGTTTCAAAATTTTAGAGTTTATCTCATTTCTGACTGTGTAGAATTGACACTAAGCTGATAAACTGTTCTAGTTTAAATAAAAGATAGTCTTTCTATCTCCCCTGAAGAAGGGAGAGGAGAAAACTTCACAAAAGCTATGATTAAAGAATAATTCAGCCCCATTCCAACAACGAAAAAACCTGCTTAAATGTATACATTTGACAAATGCTTATAAGACATTAATCAATGACATTCTTCGTATGTCAATCTTTCTTACTTAATATACCTAGTTTGCCACGGCAACAGATAATTACAGCTTGTACGTCACCATTTTGGAAAGTCACTGTGATGACAACTTTATATTAAATTTTATTTTATCGTTAGTAATAATAATAATGTACTTCAGACTTGCTAGAATCTATAGCTATAGTCTAATTCTCAGATAACTTCTTCAAAACTTATTTTAGTAGTGAAAATAATCATGACTTAAGATGATCTTCAAAATAATATTTTTGCCAGAGTTAAGAAAACATTTGCAGTGTTTGATGTTTTAATCTCAGATAATAATAATACCTATAGTTTACAGACAATTCAATGTGCCAAGTGCTTTACTTATAGCTAATCTTCACAATATCCCTGGCAAGGCAAATGAGGTACTCTTAGCAATGTCCCCTCCTAAAAAGTGAGAAAGTTAAGGTATGGGTTAAATGATTTGCTAAAAATCACTCCACTCTTAAGTGGCAGAGTGATGACTAGAACTGTGCATGTGCGGACAGGAAGTCATCTCCAGGGTGACTCCAGAACTAAGAACATTCAATTTACAGAACCAAAGGATTGAACTGTTGCCTCTGGAGGACTTTGCAAAACAAGAAATCTTTTAATAAATAAAACCTGGGTTCTGCAGCTTGTATGGACTTATTCAAGACTAGCCAATCAGTCTGTAAGTATGACATTCCCCTAGTCCTTTAAATTTCACCCTGATCTCTGGATTGTGGAGATTTGAGAGACTTGCCTCCTGTCTCCTTTCCAGTTGACCTCAAAATAAAAGCTCTTTCTTTTCTCAAAAGTCTGTGCCATAGTATTGGCTTCTTGGGCATTGAGCCCTTGCTCGGTAACATCATCTTTATTCTAAATTCTCACAGTTAATCTTGTATATTTTTGGTCTAGGTTGAAAGACTTCACATTTATCTTTGTAGAACTCTATCTTGTTGGCTTTAGCCTACCTTTCTATCTTGAGTTTATGGATTATTGAAGATATCAAGATTCCAACTTTGTGTAACTCCAAACTTATTAACTTACTTTCAGAGTTATACCTGATAAAAAAATACTGTAGATAAAGAGACACCATTAGACACTTTCCTTCATTTCTTAAAACCCTTCGTCTACTGATGTTTGGTCAATTACTAACCTACTAATGGGTAAACTGCAATGTTGATGAGCAAACCACAGTTTTTATACATTTTCAACATGAATATCAAGGCAGAACTTAGGTTAGTAAAATATTTCTCTTTATCTCTTTCTTTACCTTCTGAGAGGAGAATTTGTCAAAAATTTGTCAAGACAAGAATTACCTGGAACATTTATCTGTAAAAGATGAGATTAGTCTGCAAAAGAAAATCCTCTTCCATTACTATTTCTTGATAATTTGTCAGCAGATTTTACAGTTAATATTGTAGGCACTATGTGATTATTCAGAGAAGGCAATGGCACCCCAGTCCAGTACTCTTGCCTGGAGAATCCCATGGACGGAGGAGCCTGGTGGGCTGCGGTCCATGGGGTCGCTAAGAGTTGGACACGACTGAGCGACTTCACTTTCACTTTTCACTTTCATGCATTGGAGAAGGAAATGGCAACCCACTCCAGTGTTCTTGCCTGGAGAATCCCAGGGACGGGGGAGGCTGGCGGGCTGCCGTCTATGGGGTCGCACAGAGTCAGACACGACTGAAGTCACTTAGCATGTGATTATTGGATTATGGATTATTTCAACCATTTACTGTATTTCATCTTGGAAAAATTGATCTCCCAACGTGCTCAGTTTCCTCTTAAAATGGGGACAGTATTAACTAATACATTTGATATAAAAATTAGATAAGAATTTATGTATGAGACTTGTTCATAAAAATACTGAAAGGGTAGCTATGATGATGGTGATGATGGTAATGATGATATCTACTGTTATTCTGGAGACCTCAATCACATCTCACAGTTCATACCCTTGTTTACTTGTCTTACTTTGAATCTGGACTGGCCCTGTCATCAACTTTAACTAAAAGAATACAGTAGAAGTGACATGCCATTTCTGGGTTTAATAAATCTTAAAAGACCTGGAAGCTTCTATTTTTGTGCTTGAAGGATGTCAACTGCCATGCAATAAATTTGATGACCCTGGATCACTGTACTGGGGGAAGCCACCCTAGCCACATGGAGGAGTTTTCAGTCCATAGCCAGCAACAGCTTGCCAGCCACTTGAGTAAAGTCATGATGGTGCCCACCAGTTCTGCTCCACAGCCCACAGCTCTATACACTTCTCTTGTCCTGGCTCATGTATCCCAGACTGGGTCCAAATTCTAGCTTCCTCCACCCTCACTCAATCAGGAACAAATTCAGACAATATATAATAGTTTGCTAAATGATTTCAGTAATATATTTTTCTTTCTGATGTACACATGGAAATCATTTATTGAAAAAGATTTATGAGTGCTTTGTGTTTAATGAGAATAATGTCAGGAATGTGTCATTTTATTTTTAAAATGTATCATTCAATTTTTTAAAAGACATCTAAAAATACAAGGGCTTATCACACAGTGTAGTGAAGAAAATCTCACTATAAAATGTCGAAAACTATGTAAATTCTTCCAACTTACCATTTTATATTCTTTCCAACCTCTTTGGAAATCTAGACTTCCATCTTCACGATGCTGTATTACAGTCCAACCTCCCCCATTGAGATCCATATTGCAAAATACCTGACAAAGAAAAATAAAGCCAAGTGAAAATTATGTCTAGTGTAAAGAAACAGGTATCAGATATGTTTCAAAACAAATAGGATGGATAGCCTTATAGAAAAAAATGATAAAAATTGCCATGTTGAAAATATTAATTTAGACATTATATTGGCTATTTCTTCCTATATCCAAGTTGTTTCTGATTAAATTCCATCAAATGTGCATAAATTACTTGTAAAGTTTGGAATCAGTCAGCTGAAAACTGTCTCTCTCAGTCACAGACTATAAAAATTATTTTAAAAAATTTGTCTGTTAAGGCAAATAGGCAATAGGCACTGTGTATAATCAATTTTTTAAAATGCTACTAAAGTTTCCAAAATTACATACCATTTTACTGCTAAAACATAAGATTTGAAATTTTTATCTTTAATTTATTAAATTACAATATACCAATAATAAAGGTTTTGGAAAAATAGTGTTTTAAAAATCATATATATTTAGCTATTACACATTTCATTGCATATTTACTCCTATACACTTATATACTACAATAATTATTCTTGACGGTTCAGTAAAACATTAGAGGCAAAATTTGGTCCCCAGCATATGGAGAATACATTATTTGCTTGAATTTTCATCATGAACAATATGAAGAGAACATGACATACTATATTCCTTCTGACTGTGAGAAGCTTTTCTTTTGCATGTGGAAAAGTTATCCAAATCTTTCAAAGACTTAAGCTTATTTCAATTATTCTAAATATAATGGTATTTATTTAGAAATGGATTCATTTCCCCCAGAGCCCACCAAAGAGAGAAACATATCTGTAATAGGATTATCTTTAGAGAGCAATCACTGTAATTGATGAAGCATGAATGTGGCAGCTTGATTATTCAAGGGCTTAGCAATGGGGAGCATCATTCCCCTGGCAATCATTCGTACTAATGCAATTTGGAAGCTGGCTAAAGGTGTAGATATGAGGCAACAGCAGCAGGCAGACTGTGTGGGCATAGAGCCTGATTAAAGGAAAAAACCTCAAGTGTTTTCCCTGAGGCATTAAATTTTGAGCACACATGGCGAAAGGGTATGAAAACATTGGCAAGAACTGTCATTCAAAGGACAAATTGTCCTTGTATTTCCTCGGAGTAACGGGAGCTCTGAGACACATACTTAACTGTAAGCTATGAAAGCAGGCAGAATGCTCTCCTGTGGACTCTTCCCCTAACTTGACAACAGCCGCCCATCAGTATACACTCGTCATCACGAGGCTCTGACTCCCCTCCAAGATTACAAATGTGAAATTCCCCTCCTATCTTAAAGTTCTTCCTCTACTAACTCCTTAGCTTCTATGCACCTGCCCTTTGTCCTCAGCATGACCTCTATCTAGTCTTTTGTCTTCCTTAATTCTAATTCAATTTTTCCACCCCATAAGCATTTTGGGGCACTGATACAACTGGTGATATTTTGATGAACAAAATATGGATCATAGCATCAAAACACCTAAAAGTTTAAATAGTGATTGTGCCCATAGAAATAAGGAGAAGTAAGAATTCACAATTTTCAACTCCAGTGTCCTGAAGAATAATAGAGTCAGCAAACTAAATGAGAAATGTAAGGAATAGAGCTAACGTGAGAAAAGACATGACCATGGTTTTTGGAAAACTAATGTTTAGGAGAGCACAGCCATCCAAAAGGGGGAGTTTATTGATTAGAGATGATACAATTATAGGCAGATCAAGAATGAATAAGGATAAGAGAATGAGGGACTAAGAAAGGAATAGTCATAACAATAGAATGCCTTTTAAGTGCTAAATAATTTAAACACTTTACTGCATTTTCCAATTTATCTCACAACAGCCCTACAATGTAGGTGTGATTATTATGTCCATTCTGCAAATGAAAAACCTTAAGCTTCAAGTGTTTCAAGAACTTATCAATGGTTATTATTAATAAAACAAGTACTGAATTTAGGATTTGAATCTCTTGTTCAAAATTATACTGGCGGTAATCTTCTTAAAAGCAGCAGTTGATAGCATAAAGACAGATTTCTAAAGAAGTTAAAAAAAAAATAGTGGAAACAGATAATGGGGAGGGGTGATGGCCCAAGAATGGGCTTTGATGGAGAAAAATACAAACATACAGCTGATGGAGAAAAATACAGACATCAATAATCTTTAGGTAGGCAGGAAGTTCATTTTATTTGCTACTGTCCCTAGATTCTAGAGCAGTGCCTAGCTTATAGTAGGCACTAAAAAAATATTTGTTGAATACCTAGAGATGCAGTAAGGAAAGATAAAACAGGAAAACTTGATTAATGTAATGCAATGAAAGTTGGGGATGGATTTCAAGTTGGGGAGTGATCAACTTAGTCAAATATTCCAGAGAAGTCAAGATAAATAAAGATTAAGAAAATATACATTTAAATTTAAAATGAAGGAGCCATTAGTGACCTTGAAGAGAGAGTCTGCAGGATTCCTATAAGAATAAAATCCAGATGGCTCATTTTACAGAGGACATTGTTGGTGATTCGACACAGCGGCCGAAGTGGAACTCTACTGGTAAAACAGATAAGAGTAAGTGAAAATGTCAAGGAGATATTTTCTTAGAGGAAACTAATGTCACTTGTATTTTAATTAAATTTTACCCTGTCTTGACTGGCTAATTTAGATTTTTTTCCCCAGATTTTGATTTCCTAATGGATACTGATCCCCTGAAAGTTTGCCAAAATGTGCTTGCAAACCTATGCAGTCCATTTACACACTCAGCGAAAGGAATAACCACAACTATAAATATACTGTGTAGAGAAAACTGTTCTTTACAGTTTTTTTTTTTTGGTTACTATTGCCTATGTTAATAAAATTCTATGCACTTAAAAAGTTTTGGAAAAGGTGATTTTTTAAAAAATCACTCGCTAATTTTAGAAAAGACAACTTTCCTTTTAAACAAAGGTATCCAGTAACTTGCAAATGTTAAGATGTGCTGGGAGCAATTCTTAGTAAAGACCCAAAGAAAGTTAACCCAGAGGAGAGAGAAGTTACCCAGGCTGATTACTGCCTTGGAAAAAAAGTGCAGGGAAGTTAAAAAGTTAGATTTACACTCTACAATTCTTACTGGGACTCAGTAATAACAGCAAAGGTAACAGCTGCTTTTTGGTGAATATGGACACAATAGAAGGGAATGATATATTGGTTAGGGGCATGGACTTGGGAGCTACATTACCTGTGTTCAAGTCCCATCTCAGCCCTAACTACATTGTAGATCTTTTGCAAGGATTAAATTAATTAATGCATATAGTTTTCAGAACAGTGTTTGGCATATAACAAGCTTTGTCATTAATCTCTTAGATGTATTTTACATATGTGATGTGTATTTATATTTTGCATATATACTTTATGTATATAATATCTCATATATCATAACAGATTACTATTATACATTTCATATAATTTATTATTTATTATGATAATATAAAACATATAAAGCCAAAATACATAGAAATTCAATAAACTGTCCTTATGATTACAATTACCAGATTCTTGTTAATAATACTGGCATCAATTTCTAAGCATGCTTTCTATTGTATACATAGATATTTATGTAATATATATACCCATATGTATATGTTCATATATACATATGAAGTTGGGCTTCTCAGGTGGTTCAGTGGTAAAGAATGCCAATGCAGGAGCTGCAGGGTTTGATCCCTGGGTTGGAAAAATCCCCTGGAGGAGGAAATGGCAACCCATTCCAGTATTCTTGTCTAGGTAATCCCACGGACAGATGAGCCTGGTGGGTTACAGTCCATGGGGTCACAGAGTCAGACACGAATGAGCTACCAACCTCATATGAAGTTGGATTAGTGCTAGCAATCTGCCACACACAAAAGACCATGATTTTTAGTCAGAAGAAAAACAAAAAGCCTATGCTTATGAGATGAAAGAAGTTCAAAAAGATAGGTGGTTGGTTTTGAAAGAATTGAGACATGAAAAGACTTGAAAAGTTCCTTTGCCAATATAGTGTGGTCTGGGCTATCTGGCGGCATCCTTCCTGTAGACGCAGGCACCCTGCTACATTTACTATGACTGCTGCATTTATTGATCATATGACTTGGGCTTAACTCTATCCAAGAACAGATTGAACTGGCTCCTATCCCAGGCAAGGTCAAAGCTTTCAAGCATTAAAAATTTTTTAACATAATAATGATTTAAACCCAAACAAAAAGGGGAAATTTGATTCACATAAATTTTATGCTTTTATGCTGCATATAAGTTGGAATGATTAACCTTGTGAGTGTTAATTATTTTTCCATAAACTTAAATACAAAAGGCTCAACACATTTGTTACAGTCCTTTTCCAAGAATTAGGGAAATTATAAATTCAGAAAAAAATTTTTAAATATTTTATAGTAATTAGAGCTATTATTTAATGGTTTGTTTTATTGTATGAAACTAAGCAGATTACAGTGCATTTGGTTTTAGAAACTTATGAAATCAAAGGAAAAATCCTGCTTCCTACTACCATGTACTGAAGGAAATTCAGAGTGGAAAATATCCACAAGCCATTAATAGTGAAAAAAAGTAAAAAATAAATATATAAATGATCTAATTCTCATTTTCTATCTGCTTGAAAATTTTAATAGTCCTAGAAAACTGCCTTTGGCTTCCACGTCACATTTGAAAAGATAATACTTTTCTAACTTTTGCAGACATTCTTTCTTGGCAGGGAATGATTTCAGTCAAAACAACTATATGACAACTGTGTATACTTGCAAATTTCACTCTGCCTAAAATTAATAATTCATACTAATAGTTTTTGTTAATTGCCTAAATAGGTCAATTTAATTGATTAATCCATATATTGTACATAGCTAGACATTTTGTTTTGTTTTTACATAGACTTGCCTTGAGTTTCTTATCCTTGCTAGAATTTCTGGAAGTATTAAAATGAGCAAAATTTTTGCTAAGCATATCACTATTAGCACCAAACTTTACAGCCACAAAGCAAAATATATGTGGAAGGGTGCTGGTCCTAAGGATGCCTTTTCCAAGCACATTTATAGAACTTTTTTTACAGAACTGAGAGGATACCAATGATCTATAAAAAAATAAGAGGAGGCAATGAGATTACAGGGTGGGAGGAAGGAGGGTGGCTTACAATTAGACCTGACAATGAACTCTTAGCTGTGTCACTCAAATAGGTTCCTATAAAAAATTATGAATGGTGTAGCTTCAGTCATTACTAATATAAATAATTATCTCACTTAGCTCCTTATTAGGATGGTATAGTTTAGAGTTGATTTCTTTGTTACAAAACCTGTATTCAGTATTTGCTCTGTGATTTGGACAAGTTATTTTTCTAAAATAAGGATAATGAAAGCACCTATATATATCATAGAGTTATTGAAAGGGATAAACAAGTGACTATATGTAACTAAAGTGCTCAAAATAGAAACTGACAAATTGTAAATGCACAGTACATTTGAACTGTTATATTAATCAGTTACTGAATAACATTTGGAAGTCCACACAATGTTTGTTCTTACTAATTCTAAGGTATGTGACTATAACAAGGGATGTAAAACAAAATTTGCTACCTACTAGTAAGTGCAGGTATATCATCCTAAAATGTCCATCTCCATAACAGAACATTATTACTACTTGAGAAAGGATCATAATCTCAAAAGGGAAAGAATAAAACAAGGGAAAGAACACTTAAGTCAAGAAGTCCAAAGTCTTTCCTTCCTTATGGTCAGTTATCTCTCCCTCTCACCACGCTCTGCTGCTATATCCAATTAAACTAAACCTAATGACAGTACAAATGACATGTGAATTTCTCCTTCTTCCTCTGAAGAAATATAAGTGCCATTTCTATAGTGATAAAATTTGCTCTTACATGCCTGTATGGATATTATCACTAATCTGTCTGGACTACTATTTTTCTCTAGGCCCAAATCTAACAAGTCTAATCCAGCATATATTTAGCATTTGTGGCTTCAGTATATTAGATTTTTTTTAAATTTAAGAACAATACTGAAGCTCTCTAATATGTAAAATTCATCATTTTGCAGAGGCATAAATTTAAATCATGCTGTTTCTGAGACCCAACATAGAAGTCACTGAACTAGTAAACTGGATCCTCTAACCCACTCTTTTATGTAAATCTTAAAAAAGGCAAATTCATTTAGGTTTGTAAATTGTTATTCAAGTTTATAACTTCCCTAGTGGGTCAGTTGGTAAAGAATCTGCCTACAGTGTGGGAGACCCAGGTTCAATCCCTGGGTAGGGAAGATCCTCTGGAAAAAGAAATGGCAACCCATTTCAGTATTCTTGCCTGGAGAATTCCACGGACAGAAGAGCCTGGTGGGCTACAGTCCAAGGGATTGCAAAGAGATGGACATGACTGAGCAACTAACTTTCACTTTCATTCAAGTTTATGAGTTAAGATAAGATACTTTTCTTCCACCCTAACAGTAGCAGTGGTTCTGCAAATAGTCTGAGAATTATTTGTTTCTTAAAACATTCTGAACTAGAATAAAGTTATGATTATTGCATACCTTAAACTTAATGGAATGATCAAACTTTACTTGTAATGCCCTAAGGACCATGTGTTAGTGTTGATGGACTGAAAAAAAATTCTTAAAGTGTGAAAGTTAATCTAAAAACTTTAAAAAACATTTTATTTTTATATTCATACATAATAATTATTAAGAGTCTAAAAGGAGGGTCACTTAACATTTTTAGTTAACTTTATAGTCACTATGTTACGGGGAAGTGATAATCGTTTAGGGGTTTCTATCAGGTCTTGGGAAGAACTACAGGTAAATCGCATGAAGCATCTACATTAGCGCGGGTTCTCTCCTCCAGGGCAGTCGCTGACACACTTCACTCGCTCTCTGTGTGATGTGTCAGTGTGGGCATGGATGGCATGCCTGTGCACATGTCTGAACTGAATTTAAGTCTGATTTTAAGATATCAGCAAGCGGAATAGGAAGGTTTCATGTCATATGATCCAAAGGATTCAAAAGGCTGCTTTTTATAATAAATTACTGTTTCCTCGCTTCCCTGGTGGTTCAGGTGGTAAAGAATCCGCCTGAAATGCAGGAGACTCGGGTTCGATCCCTGGGTCAGGAAGATCCCCCGGAAAAGAAAATGGCAATCCACTGCAGCATTCTTGCCTGGAGAATTCCATGGACAGAGGAACCTGGCAGGCTACAGTCTATGGGATCGCAGAGGTGGACACAACTGAGCAACTAACCCTTTCACTTTACTCCTAAACTTGCTATAATACCTTCACAGTTTTTGTTTTTGTTTTTTTTAAAGACATGGTACACCTGATTCAGTGAAATTTCTCACAGAAGCTCAGAAAGAAATACAGTGAAGTCAAACTTCTCTGGTAGGTAACCCAGGAAGCAATGTACGTAACTGTCTGCCACCTCTTTTACCTGCTGTACTGTCTTTATTTCTGCTCACTTTGACAGCACAGTATAGGTGTTTTTTTTTTTTTTCAGAAAAAAATTTTTGTCCCAGCAGAGGGAAAAACTATTGAGCTAACTTAACCCACTAATCCTCATTGGAATCAGCTGGGCTGGTAGAGTCCAGACTTTGCCTCTTGACAACTGTGTGACGACTGGCAAGCCAAGATGTATTTCCCTCACCTATCAAAGAGAATGAACAGTCGGAATGACTAAGTTAGGCTTACTTACTATATACTACACAGAAGTGTTGACATTATCATCAGCAGGTCATCTATTCATTCATCCATTTCAGTGCATATTTATTGAGGACTACTATGCTCCAGAAACTATTCTGGGTCCCGGGAAGTAAAAGATAAAAGTAAAATCCTCCCCTTGTAGAACTCTGATAGTGAGCAAGTCATGCAAAGTTGTTTGAGGGAATCAGGGAAAACCTCTGAGAGTGTGTGCATAGTAGCTAGAAAAAAAGGGAACACAGAACTGGTAATTTAGGTGAGGTTGCTGCTGCTAAATCACTTCAGTCGTGTCAGACTCTGTGAGACCCCATAGACGGCAGCCCACCAGGCTACCCCATCCCTGGGATTCTCCAGGCAAAAATACTGGAGTGGGTTGCCATTTTCTTCTCCAATGCATGAAAGTGAAAAGTGAAAGTGAAGTCGCTCAGTCATGTCCAACTCTTAGCGATATCATGGACTGCAACCTACCAGGCTCCTCTGTCCATGGGATTTTCCAGGCAAGAGTACTGGAGTGGGGTGCCATTACCTTCTCCGTTAGGTGGGGCAATGAGAGGAAAAAGACTGTTCCATCCTTTGAGGATAAAGCACTGCAAGGATAGGTGGTCCTCTCGGGGTCTTGAGCATCTGGTTAAAGCTTTTGACATGTTGAAGAACAGAGTTCTCCTCAAGACTCTCCATAAACCCTGCTGCAGTCTCTATCATTGCACTTCTACAGTACATTACAATTTCTGCATATTAGTCTGTTTTCACCACTACATTGGGAACTGTTTTATGTTATGTCTCTAGTCATTTACTGACAAATAAATGACATATACTTTTGTATTGAATGAAGGAATGGATGAATGATTTAATGAAGAAATAGGAAGAAAGAGTATATATAGAAGAGATATAACAGCAAGAAGACAGTGTTTTCTTACTTCAAAGTATACTTTGGATCCTGTTCAATATACTGATAAAAAATATCCTCCAACAAAATCCTTTAGGTAAATATGTAAAGCAAGCCTTTTCAGGATTATGAGTTAAGATAGAGTATTGTTCTCTACCCTAATAAGAGCAGAGGTTCTGGAAATATGTCCCTAGCTCTCTCTCCACAGTATTTGAACATAGATGATGTGTACCATCTGTGTCCTTGGGACTTTGGAAGGTGGTTCCTAAGTTATTCCCATGAGCTTGAAGTATATGCCTTCAACATGTAATCTGTATAAGGCAAGCATTTATGAACAAATGGGATATCCTAGGAATGAGCAGAGGGTAAATGGAAAACTGTGTGTGAAATAGGGATAGGACACATGAGGGCTGGAGGCGGTCTGTACAACCGGGTTTTCATCTTTTATGGACCTGGGAAACAGAGTATCTTTGGGAGAAAAGGGCTTAGGCATATATATTTTCAGTTTAACAAGCTCACAAATCAATCTGATTATTCAGCAATTCAACTAGGATCTGCTTTACATCTCATAAACAAACACTTCTGGTTTTACCTTTTTGGGTTCTGGCATATTATTAATATAAATAGTGTAGATTCCACTTTTATTAAAACCAGCTTGATATACATCTGCACAGTCTCTAAATGGCTTTTCTTCCTCTTTTTTTCCTCCCTTTAGTAAAACTGCAAAAAAAAAAAGATCACAATATGTGAATATCAGTACCATTAGTTCCCAAATGGACTTCAAGTATAGCCAAGCAAGTCTTCATTTCCTCCAAACAAATGTCAATGTTGCATTTATTGAAAAATCAATCATAGGAACAATGTTAGATTCTGAAGTGACAAAATTACAAAACTAAAAGAAAAACATGATTAATTTATGACAGTATTTTTTCATATTTGCCTTAATTTCTTAAATCTTGTCTTTCTCTATCACTTTCATAACATCAACTCAATAGACAAATAATCTGATCATAAAATACTAACAATTGGTAACAATTATGTCAATGTTTCTGCAATATTTCTAAAACCTTCTTAGCTACATTTTACAGGAGAGTTTGAAAAATGCTACCATTTTTGGAGCAGGAAGAGTTAAAGATAAATTCAAATATAAAAATACAATATAAAGGTTTAATATGCTAAAAGAAGGATTTTCTATTTTTCTGGGGATTTATATTGAAGTTTTTCTAGAAATTTTTAGTTTTAGAAAACTCTCAAAATAAAAATTAGAAGTCTCTGATCCAATTCATGTATCTAGAGTGAAAGGGAAGTGATCTTTGATTTTTATTTAATGGCCTGAAGTTAAGCTATCAGGCAGATGACATAAAAATAGAACAACAAAAATCAGTAAGATTTGAAATTAAGTTATATAGGTGGAATTGCTAAATAGGGGCTAGAAGTCTAATGGAAAAAGAAATTTAATTAGAGATTATTGGGAGGAACTTTATTTCATTCATTGATCTTCATCCATTATTAAGTTCTTATTAATGAGATCAAAATACAAAGATGATTCATTTAATAATTCTTACCTAAATATACATGCAACATATATATAAATTATAAGTCTCTAGTTGTTTAATCATTATCTGCTTTAAATCACTCTGAGTCACAATGATATTTTAAAATAATAACATCAAAGGTAAACTATGAATCAATGCTTTTAAATTGATTTTAAATGTTCTAACAATCTAAAATACTAACCTGATTTCAATTTGACACACAATGTTACTACTTTGTATGTAATTAAAAGTGAACAGTCTAATCTTTATAGAAAGAATGACTATCTCAATATAAATTTTTCAAATTTTCAAAAATAACTATGGTTCAAGTAAATGAAATATCCATGTCAGATATGTTGCCATAACAAAAATACAGAATTATAACATTTAATAGCATTATAGTTCTCTACATAGCTCACGTTTACACTAATGATTTTGCTTACTTATACTAAAAAGTACCTCTAAATATCATCATCACAATTTCAATATCAACACAAAATAAGTAATCAGAGGACTAACAGTCCATATGCTAGTAAAGAAGCATTGCACAGAATGCATGCAGATAGCAATTAAAAATGAGTATTTATGTACTCAAAAGCCATCTTTAATGGCATTGGGCATGTCAATGGATTAAATAAAGGTCTTTTTTTCAAAACATCAGTGCATTTCACTTGTGCTTTACTTACTTTAAGCTAACTGGACTATTATTTTTCTAAAATAAACTTTCCTAAATTGTAAATGCTTGTTCTTCTGTTGAAAAGTTAAAAATAACCAAACCAGATGCAAAAAAAAGGGATGTAAAGAAATATTAACTAAAATTTATAATCCCATGAGAGGATGCACAACACAGGAAGATGTGGTCAAGAGGAATTTAATGGTAAACCCATTTTTCTTTTTTGGGTTAGAGACGGAGAAAATCTTGTCTCTAAAGAAAGAGAAAATTCTTCCTTGTTAAATGTACCACTTCCTGCCCTCCCTTATTTAGTTATGTAAGGCAAATACACTCCTTTCCCACTTCTATGCCACTTCCCTTCCCTTTTCTTCACCTCTTCAGGATGATGCAGGTGAAGGTTGTTGTATGGGAAGAGGGAAGTTATTTCACACACATTTTCAATAACAAGGAAAAGAGAAAAACTTAGATATTGTCATATTTTCTGGAAACTAATTTATAAAATGATGTTCAAGCTCTGAATGTAAGTCTTATAACTAGAAAGATGGTTTGAGGAGTCTACCATAAACACAAGTAGTACCTTGAAAAAAGTACAAAGATTTGAGATACACTTTTCAAGAAATGTAATAGAAAAAAAGCCTATTTGAAATGACCAAGGTTTTGACTCAGTAGCATAGAGAACACAGCTGAAGTTAGAAAGCATGCATTTGAATGGCATTAAATAGCTTCACTTTAGTGTCTGCACTCTAGAAGTGGGGGTGAGAACTTGAATAAACATCCTCCCTTGGGTCAGGATTTACCCATACAAGGGACTACTGGATGAAGGATGGTGGAAGGAAGGCACTAGCAATTCCACCTGAACCGTTCCTTCATGTCTCACTCTCAGACTGAAGATAGGAAGAAAGAAAAAGGAGATGAGGAGGAGGCAGACAGTAACGGTTGGGTACAATACTATGGACATGTTGTAGTTATGGCACCATATCTGATAGAGATATTTCATTTTCTTGACATAAAGTCTGGTGTTTTTGAAAAATCAAAACGTTATTTCTAGAAAGATTAGACTGCTTATTTTTACTTACTTACTTATTAGTAACAGAATCCTTGAAATTTTGATCCAGACTACACTTAGAATACTACAGCATTTAAAAACAATTTAAAAGGTTCATTCAGAGCTTACCTTTACATCTGTATAATATTCTATGGTCTGATGACCCCTTCTATAGGAGTAGATCAGTGTTTTGCTTTCCTTTTAATGTATAAAGTTGGGGTACTTATGAGGCAAGTATGTGAATTATATAACAGAGTGACTGAATTATAGTAAGTACTAAGAAATGGTAGTTAGTGTTATGGTAATAATATCATTGATGGCAACACTATGTTATTTTCTTTTTTATGGAAAAGACAGGCTGTGGAAGACTAGCCAATCTACCACACATGTGGGTGAGGGCTATTGTGTGGGAAGAGGGAAGCTGTTTCACACATATTTTCAATAATACAGAAAAAAAGGAAAAGTTGAGTATGATGGATGTTCAGTGGAGTGGTGGTTGCTACTGTCTTCCATTCTCAAATCCAAATACTGCAGCTGACTAAACGCAGGGAATTTACATTTGACTGGTTACATTTAGGACTATATCTAGTTGGCCCCTCCCTGTCAGAGTTGGGTAACTGGATTTTTTCATTCATTGACTACATCAGGTTCTATCACTACTAAGTCAAAGAAACCAGTAATCTAATCTTGCTGTATGTGCACAATCACTCAGTCATGTCTGACTCTTTGCAACCACATGGACTGTAGCCCACTAGGCTCCTCTGTCCATGTGGATTCTCCAGGCAAGAATCCTGGAGTGATTGCCATGCCCTCCTCCAGGGGATCTTCCCAGCCCAAGGACTGAACCCAGGTCTCCTGCATTGCAGGCAGATTCTTTACGGTCTAAGCCACCAGGGAAGCCCAATCTTGCTATACAATGTAAGCTTTATCTATTAAGAATTAATAATTATTTCAGATGAAATGATATATGATATGTATACCAATATGCTGCTTGTAGAGACTTTAGTATTATAAATCCATTTTTCGTGACTATTTTCTTTGTTAAATATTGGAGAATACAAAATTTAGTGTTATTATTAGATACTGTAAAACTAGAGTAGTAAGCATTTTAAAACATAGAAAGACCATAACAAAGATGAATTAACTGAACAGGATAAATGATCAGAAACAAAGATAAATTTTTGTAGAAGGTCTTGAGATTCAATAAGATGGAAGATAATGCCTGGAGGAATATAAGATAAATGGCAAGAGACAAACATGAAAAACCTGATGGAAGAAGATAAAAGAAGCATCACCTGGACAGAGAAGGGAGGGGTGATCTGGACATATGATATGGCGTTATAGTTTCTGAAAATGCAGTTTAACTTGTTGTAATAATACACTGGTTTAAAGCGTAAATTTTTAAAAAATGATCTATATCTCTAAAAGTTCCTTCTTTGACCACATACTCTTGTATTTCTTCTCCCATTCTTTAATTCTTAATGAATTTGTCTTTCTTTTCAGAGTCTAGATCCCCAGCATTACTATCTGCCTCCTCCTAATCTCCTTTTTCTTTCTTCTTATCTTTATTCTGAGAGTGAGACATGAAGGAATGGTTCAGGTGGAATTGCTAGTGCCTTCCTTCCACCATCCTTTCATCCAGTAGTCCCTTGTATGGGTAAATCCTGACCTAAGGGAGGATGTTTATTCAAGTTCTCACCCCTACTTCTAGAGTGCAGACACTAAAGTGAAGCTATTTAATACCATTCAAATGATGCTTTCTAACCTCAGCTGTGTTCTCTATGCTGCTAAGCCAAAAACCTTGGTTATTTCTAACAGACTTTTCTTCTATTACATTTCTTGAAAAGTGCATTTCAAATCTGTACTTTTTTCAAGACTAAATCTTACTTCTGTCTTCTCTCACTATTTATATGTGACCTTTTCTTAATGCTTTGCTATGAAGATCAAAGGCATTTGAAATAAGTCTCCTTTGCCTATCTTTCCCCTTGCCTTTTTTGTTGACCTCTCTAAGTCCCTTTTCTATTTCTCTAATTGTCCATTCTCCTTCCTCTTCATTGGCCTCTGTTCCTCTCTTCACCTACCAATAGATGTTCCTCAACATTCTATTCTTGGATCTCTGTTCCTTTTTAATTTGCTCTTTTTGCAAACTATCTTCTGTGGCTTCAAAATTTTACACAGATTTGTAAGATACAAGCATTTCTGACACCGTGTGTTTGCTGCCCTCATGACTTCCAGATTCACATTTCTACTGTTGAGCAGTTCCTGATACTACTCCAACTTCATTTGTTTAATGTTACCTAATATTTTCTCCAAAACCGATGTTCTCTTCTTCTCTTATTGATCCCACTATATTCCCTCTGTTGTCATCATTAAAAATTAGTAAAAGCCTAAACATAAAATGGGCTTCCCAAGTGGCTCAGTGGTAAAGAATCTGCCTGCCAGTTCAGTAGACACATGTCGATCCCTG